GTGGCTGTTAGACCGTGTATGCACTGAGCCCGGGCTTCAACGCCGGTTCACTGAGGCTCATGCCGGCCGATTTCGCATGGGAGCAATTGATTCATACTTACAGCGGGTCGTACGATTTCGGGAGAAGCTATGTATTGCAGTGCACATTAGTGGAGGGCAACCAGCGCGGGCCCCAGAGCTATTGAGCATTCGACACCACAATACTGACAGTGGCGGGCACCGCAATATATTTGTGGAGGATGGGCTGGGGGGTTTTGTGACACAGTACCACAAAGGCTTTTATGCATCCAATGATACCAAGGTCATTCACCGGTATTTACCACGGGAAGTGGGTGAATTGGTGGTATGGTATTTATGGCTGGTGCTGCCATTTGTGGAACGGCTTGAGGCATATCAACAGAAGATACGGCAGATGGAGGGGAATGATAACAACTGGTAAGTTTGGACAGAATCAAATGACTGACAACTGGTGAACCTTGACAGTGAATTGTTGACAGTGAATTGTTGATGGTGAATCATTGATGAGTGAATGTTGACAGTGAATGTTGACAGTGAATGTTGACAGTGAATGTTGACAGTGAATGTTGACAGTGAATTGTTGATGGTGAATCAGATCAAGATCAGAGCAGTAGCTGACCATCCATAGTGGCCACCGGCGAGCATTTTTATGGCCCCCAGACCCCAGCACCAACCGGGAGTGGTCATCAGAGCGGCTCCGAGAGCTTTTGAAACGGGAGACCACCGCTGGGCTCCAAGGCCAGGCATTGAACTTGCCTGCATACCGCGATATCGCCATTGGCATCAGCCGTCGATATATGCGGCCATCCAGTGTATTTCCCAACAACATGCACAATGACTGCCCCAACCCACAGGATGATGCTGATGCCGAAAGCGGTATGGGTGCTGAGGAATGGATGGGACATATTGCTGATTTACAAGCCGCACATTCATCCCATGTGGCCGGCATGGTATATGGCCGGGGGATCATGGAGCAGCCTGGCACCACAGCCCACCGACGTGAGATGTTCCGGCTGAGTAGCACTGATTGGCACAAGTTTTTAGGGTTTGTGTCCAGTGATGATGGCGGTGCTGAAAGTGCATTGGGCCAGGCCAAGCGATCCCCATGGGAAATCGAGGCCGAGCAGGGCCGTACAGAGCGACAGTGGTTGTTACAGCAGACCCCAATGGAGTCCCAATTACAACAGCTCATGGGGAATGAATCCGCACGGTTTCAGGGCGTCCAAGGAGCTGCAATCCAAGCGATTCAGCAAGGTCAGAGCCCAGTGGTGGTCGTCATGCCCACAGGAGGTGGCAAAAGCATGTTATTTATGCTGCCAGCATGGGTGGCTCCCCGGGGTACAACTGTGGTGGTAGTCCCATTGATTGCATTACGAGGGGACTTACAGCAGCGGTGTGCCAAACTAGGCATTCCATGTGTGGAGTGGGAAAGCCGGCGGCCCCCAGATGAAGCATCCATTGTGCTTGTTACCCCCGAGTCTGCAATTACAG